AAACTTTGGATCAGCCTATTTCACGCTGATCGGCAGGGGTGACTGGAAGAGTCCAAGTCGCAGGGGGGAATATTTTCTACAGTTAGGAAAGACTTTCTTCTGATATAGTCCCTCTAAAGGCTGATTCATACTTCTGCTTCAAGCCCATGCATATGCTACGGCGCTGACGCATAGCCCTACGCCGTGGCCGTCGGCGACGCTGATGTGCACCTCTCAAAAAATGTAACTACACGATGCAATGACGCATAGCGCAAGCTCTGTGATTGGTCGGCTTGGTAGCGCTGATGAGTCTGGTCGGGACTGAGTCTGGTTTAGGTCCTGTCGCAAGCCCAATAGAGCGATTGTTTACAAGTGTGGAGTCCCGTGAGGGAGCTCCAGATAAAAAGTTTTGTTTTGTGTTAACTGTTGGAATGTCTTCCTCTATTCCATGTGTGTTCAATTCAAACTCAGGAGAAATGGTTCAATGCTTAAAAGATTAGTAATTTATTGAATACAAATGAATAATTGATGTTCAGAGCTCTGGGCATACACCAAGATAGTCTAACAGTTATACAATGCTAACCGGGACTAAGTCAGGTACTCTGCCCTTGCCCGGTGTCTAAAACCCAGTTTTATAGACAGCAGGAGTAAAGAGGGTGAGTTCCGGGCTGCTCCTCTGCATATTTGGTATTTCCTCCTTCACCATTCTCTTTCTGCACAGAAGATTTGTATAGTTAATTGCACCTTTTACATATTTCATAACTCGTGACAACCATACCCTTCTTGTGACCCTGCACATCTTTTTTTGGTAGAGAGGAAGTCTGGACCAAGGCCCCCCCTCTTGCAATATCTTGCAGCCAATTTCCCTTGTCAGCAGAACTTTAAACTAGATGTTCCAGTACATGACCCCATAATAAAAGAAGAACTTTAGTTAGTATAACATATCACATAACGAGAAAAAGATTGGTTAATCAGTTGCTAGTCAAAACTTTTTTTCTAATGAACACAATCAATGTATTCGTGTATTAGTCTATTAGTCCATGATTTATATGTTCCTAAACAAGATATGAAGATATTTAATGTGAGTATATAATGTGTATGTAAGATTTTCTTCAGTTTTCCTCCAATAATTCCCTCTGTTGACCTCCTAACATAACTCCTAACATCCCTTGCTTGATCACTGCATATCCTGCTTGTAATCCTAATTCAGGATCCCTGAAACAACATCCATCTGTGTACACATTTTCTACCTCTCCTGTCAGTGGCACTGATTGCAAATCAGATCTCAGCTTGCTGTCCCCCATGACTACCTCCTCACAGTTATGTGGCTCTCCCTCCACCATGTAGTCAGCCATGTTAATGCCTTCGTGTGTGAAAGTTAGGTTTGGAGCGCTTAGCACTTTCCACACTCTGTTCTGTCTTAGTGAAGACATTGTAAAAGCAAGTGAATTTACGTATGCCATTACAGAGTGTGATGTGAGCACTGTTGTTGCATGTCCCATTACTAAATGTGCTGTTTTCTGAATAATCTTGGCTAGCCCTACTGCGTATCTAGTACACGGAGGCTGACGCTGTTCTGCCTTGTCCAGTAAAATGTTCAAATACATCAAAACTACTCTGTTGCTATCTTTTTTCTGAAATAACACCCCATTCACTGTTTTCTCTGTTTCTGAAACATCCAGATAGAATCGTCGACTATAGTCAGGATTGGCCAAATTAGCTGCACTTGCTAACATAGCCTTCAATTCAATTAATTGCTTCTCTGTTTCTGTTGTCCAATCTATTGTGGCCCTTAACTGTTTGGTTCCCTTATCCTGCACTAACTGCCTCAGTGGGGTCATCCTATCAGTAAATTGTGGTATGAACTGTCTACTGAACCCAGCCAAACCCAAGAATGACAGCATGTCTTTTACAGTCACTGGTTTGGGTGATTCAAAATGGCTGATCGGTGGTTGGGCGAAATTCCTGCGCCTAGCCCGGACACCACTCGTCCCAGGAATGTGACCTGTGGTCTACACACCTGTAATTTTGATCTGCTTACTTTGAACCCAGCTCTATACAAGTGTAATAACACCTGCTTGGTCGCAGTCAAACAGGAGTCCACTGTTTCAGCAGCTAGTAAAATGTCATCAACATATTGAATCAATACCACTCCATCTGGCAGAGGACAATCGCTCAGTAGAGCTCTCAGTGAGTGGTTAAACAACCCTGGAGAAAGTATGAATCCTTGTGGTACTCTTGTGTACCTGTATTGTTGTCCCCTAAAGGTAAATGAAAACACATCCCTTAAATTTGGTGCCAGTGGTAAACAGAAAAATGCATTCGCTAAATCTATGCATGAAAACCACTTGTGGTCTAGATGTAGGGCTGATAATGCGGTCTATGGATTTGGCACTGGCAAAGTGGCAGTTTTCACTACCACATTGATTTTTCTTAAGTCATGAGCCATTCTATATTTTCCTGTCTTTTGTTTTTCTACAGGTAAGATTGGGGTGTTCCATTGTGATGTTGATGGCTCTAATACACCTGCTGTCAACAGCCCTTCAATTGTATCTGCGATACCTGCTTCAGCTTGTGGTTTGTGAGGGTACTGTGGCTGCCAAACTGGCCTTTCATTTTTTAGTTCAAATTTCATGTCTGAGAGTGAGGAGCAAAAACCCACATCTGTTGGTCCTGTCGACCATAATTGATCTGGTAAACTGTCTATCATTGGTGCCGACGCCTCATGATCTGTTCTTTCTCTCCCATGCCACCTGTTGACCCATACATGTTTCATTATTACACTGTCTGTTGTGACCATATCAATACGATATGCTTTGTCTGATGGTGAGTAAAATAAATTTGGTATTTGGGTGGCGACCCAGTCTGTTAATTTAGACCAGTGGTTCCCAACCTTTTTCTTTGGGGCCCCCCCCATGAACATATACAAACATTGGAACCCCCCCACCATATAAATACACACCCACGCACACACATATGTACTGTATATATGTATATATATATATATATATATATATATATATATATATATATATATATGTGTGTGTGTTTGTGTAATGTTAATATATAGTAATACGTATAGAGAATATTAATTAATCAGTTTTAACTTGTCTTGGCCTTCAATAAAACCAAAATTTAGGTAGGCTTTGTCATACTGTCTAATCTTTTTTTTTGCCTCTGAAGAATCAATGCATTTACGTTTGTCTGGTCATTTACGATTACCTCATAGTAAAGTTGTTGCACGTACGCCGGTTTCTGCTTCAAAAAGAGCTAGTTTAAGTCACTTTTACATTCAAGAAGTGTTCAGGAAAAACAAAGCACCAGCGAAGAAACTCGACACTGAGGAACATTTACACCTCACTGCCAACTAGCGTTTCGGGAGTGTTAGGCCCCGTTTACACTAGTGCGTTTTAGTTTTAAAACGGCGTTTTAGAATGAAAACGATACGCGTCCACACTCGCGTTTTACCCAGCGATTCTGAACAGCTCTCCGTCCACACCAAAAAGCTGAAAACGCACATCACGTGACCGCACACACACTCTCGGGCAAGCGCTGCAGCCCATCTACCCAGATGAGAGCTGTGCTAGCCGGAATTCTCATCAAGCATCTCCCGCTGAATCTAATCTCACTATATTTATTAAACGGGATATTTCATTCATCTTGTTGTCTTTATCTAACGACATATTCCCTGACTTTGGTCATTGGAATCTATTACTTGTTCTCAGGTAACGTGTTTTGGCTGAGCGCAAAGATAAGTTAATGATTAATGTAACCACGTAGCCAATTCTGTATATTGACTGATCACTTGCCTTTATTTTCTATAATGTATAAACTTAATAATGGCCATTGTCGATTATTAAAACTGATATTCAGCAAAAGAGAGGCTGTGTTTCGTATTTTCACTGAAATTGAAAGGAGGCAGTAATGTTATAGGCTCCGTTTTGTTATAAATATCCACACAGTGAAGATGATGCTCATTATGCAGCACGACGCCTCAACATTTCTGCTGTCTGTTAAGTTGCTAATATTAAAATGAAGATAGACAGTTCCTTAAATCATGTTTACATTTTATTGTTGAGAAAGTGAAACAATGTAGCCAGGGTGATGTGAATGAAGTTATAAAGTACACTGTTCCCTTTGAAGATTTACCCATGTCCTCAGTATAGTCTGCTTTTCCATATCAAACTGAGAAGAAGAGATGCAGCCTTGATCAAACTTGCGAAGTCTGAACTTACAAGGAGAGGATGCAGGGCTGAACTGTGTGTGTTAGGATACTTAATATTGAGGAAAAGCCCCAATCAGAGAGGCGAATGTCTGCAGCCCCGCCTCCGTTTTCAGATGTCTCCGTTTTCCATCATCCACACTGAGACGGAGCAGCAGCGTTTCAGAATTCGTGAGAAGTAGTGTAGTGTGGACGGTTGGCGTAACCGTAGCAAAACTTATGCGTTTTCAAACTAAACCGCATTAGTGTAAACCGGGCCTTAATGCAGACCAACAGAGACAGCACGCAGAAGTATAAATGCACAGCTACGCGTTGAATATTTAGCAGACCAGAATATTTTTTCCACAACAATTTACAGTCACTTGTCCAGCAGTCTTTGAATAAATCATAAGGTATGAACTCCTATTTTATAAACATACAAGGGCAATTATTGTCTATTTGCTCCGTGCGCTGCTCCAGATAGACAAACAAGCTACATCATCCTTTACCTTAGGTTCTTTGCAACAAAATTAGTCCATTTTCAGCTTTTTCTGTTCTTGTGTGAATGAGTAATACCCTGCTATGTCTTGTAAGTGCCAAATGCAACAAATTTGGGTCATGAAATTCCAAAATTCAAGAAAATACAATAACGTATTTACAAAATGACATTTTTTTTACTAGTCATTTTTCAAAATCTTTTGTTAGACTTTGCACATGACTTTTCTAAAACTTTTTTATACACACACACACATTTATATATATATATATATATATATATATATATATATATATATATATATATATTAATAGATTATTGCAGTTTATATATATTTGTACATTATTTATTTTACATTTAAAGTATGAAGGCCGTTTGGACATTGAAAAAAAGTACTACTGTGCTATTTGCTTTTTTTGATATAGTGTTATAATTTTGATATGGTTATTAAGAAGTAAAATTATGATTTTTGTGATAATAACCCATACAATATCTTGTTTTTCACTTTTGACAAGTAGGAAACTCTTGTTGTTTTTTCCCACCCTTCGGTTGAACTAAAATGATTCTTGCATACTACATGATTAAGACAAAATAAGTTTTTCTCGTGCGTCCTGACATATGCTGGTAACAAACAAAAACTGACCACAGTTTTATAGAGCACACAGGGCCTGAGTTATGCACTAAGACTTGCTTTAAAACAAAAAAAAAAAAACTAAGCTGTTTGTGTTGAGGTGGTTCATTATAGGACAGAAAACATATATAATAATAGTTAGCATTTAACAGCAGTGTTTTTTGAATTTCAAAGGGGTTTCTTTAAAATGACATTAAGATAAAGCATTTATTGTTCTGTATGTGGGTGTGGTGAGACTTTAAATTTAGGTAGGGGAAAATACTTTTTTTTTTTGGCATGTTACCTTCTTCCAGTTGGAATAGAATAACTCTTGCATGCATTATTATAGGGAGAAATGTATTTTTCTTGTGTTTACTGATACCTGCTGGAAAGAAATGGAATTTTGATGGAGCACTCAAGGCCTGAGTTACACATTTTCTAACTTCAGTTTATATAAAACAGTATTTTATGAAATTTTAAAGGATTTCTTTTAAAATTATACCAAACTTTTGTATTTATTCCTCTGCATGTGGTTATGGAAAGCTTTTTAAATCGGAAGGCCAAATTCAGGCGGAAATACTCAAAATAGCCCAAAAGCTTAACAGGTTAATTTCTGATGAGCTGCTGAAACTCATCCCACATCGAAGCTGCGGTCACACTTTTGAGCATGCGACATTTTGCGCTGCGAAAAGGGGCGGGATTAAAAAAGATGATTAGACATTAAAAAAAGTGAGCGATTGTCCAGAGAGGTCATGTTTTGATCTTCGATTGGTCTCACACAGTCAAGTAATGCGATTTCGTAGGTCAGAGTTCACCTAGCTTGAACTCTGCAATGCAGTGAACTGCAAAACTTGACCCACAAACTTGCGTTTACAGTCTGACGCATTTGCGTGCATATGAATGGAAGTCTATGGGGAGAACGGTCCACTGTAACCGTGGCTTAGGTGCAAGTAAATGGTTTCTCTCCAGTGTGGATCCTCATGTGTCTGTTAAAGTTTGATGATTGTCTGAAACTCTTCCCACACTGAGTGCATGTGAATGGTTTCTCTCCAGTGTGGATCCTCATGTGTTCTTTAAGAGATGATGAGCATCTGAAACTCTTCCCACACTGAGTGCATGAGAATAGTTTCTCTCCAGTGTGGATCCTCATGTGTAGATTAAAGTATGATGAGCGACTGAAACTCTTTCCACACCGAGTGCATGTGAATGGTTTCTCTCCAGTGTGGATCCTCATGTGTCGGTTAAGTTGTGATGATTGTATGAAACTTTTCCCACACTGAGTGCATGTGAATGGTTTCTCTCCAGTGTGGGTCCTCATGTGGTGATTAAGGGATGATGATTGGCTGAAATTCTTCCCACACTGAGTGCATGTGAATGGTTTCTCTCCAGTGTGGATCCTCATATGTTGTTTAAGAGATGATGAGCGTCTGAAACTCTTCCCACATTGAGTGCATGAGAATGGTTTTTCTCCAGTGTGGATCCTCATGTGGTGATTAAGGTGAGATGAGCGTCTGAAACTCTTCCCACACTGAGTGCATGTGAAGGGTTTCTCTCCAGTGTGGATCCTCATGTGTTTATTAAGGGATGATGATTTGCTGAAACTCTTCCCACACTGAGTGCATGTGAATTGTTTCTCTCCAGCGTGGATCCTCATGTGTCGGTTAAATTGTGATGATTGTATGAAACTCTTCCCACACTGAGTGCATGTGAATGGTTTCTCTCCAGTGTGGATCCTTATGTGGTGATTAAGGGATGATGATTGGCTGAAACTCTTCCCACACTGAGTGCATGAGAATGGTTTCTCTCCAGTGTGGATCCTCATGTGTTGTTTAAGAAATAATGATTGGCTGAAACTCTTCCCACACTGAGTGCATGAGAATGGTTTCTCTCCAGTGTGGATCCTCATGTGTTTATTAAGGTAAGATGAGCAACTGAAACTCTTCCCACACTGGGAGCATGCGGATGGTTTCTCTCCAGCGTGGATCATCATGTGGTAATTAAGGGATGATGATTGGCTAAAACTTTTCCCACACTGAGTGCATGTGAATGGTTTCTTTCCAGTGTGGATGATCATGTGTTTATTAAGGGATGATAAGTAGCTGAAACTGTTCCCACACTGAGTGCATGTGAATGGTTTCTCTCCAGTGTGGATCCTCATGTGTTGATTAAGGGATGATGATTTGCTAAAACTCTTCCCACACTGAGTGCATGTGAATGGTTTCTCTCCCGTGTGAATCCTCATGTGAATCTTAAGATCGCCTTTTCTTCCAAAATTCCTTCCACATTGAGTGCAGGTGAAACAATTTTCGTCTTTTTTTTTCAAAATACCATCAGTCTGTAAATGAGTTTTTTCCTCAATTTTGACATGATGTTTCTCTTCTTTACTCCCCTCATTCTCTTCAATTAGATCTAAAATAAAAAAATATAAAAAACTGTTTTTATTAGGTCTTAAAAATCTCATCAAAAGCGTAAAGGTGAAAAGACACTGGAAACATTGGCTACACACACTGTAATTTTGATGCACATTAAATGTAAAATAAATCAGATCATATTTTGTTTAGTCCATTAACTTGTACACATTTAAGCAGATTTAATTCATCTTCATCTAGTGCTTTTACAATGTAAATTGTGCTGAAGCCACTTAACTTAGAAGTTCTAGTAAATTGAAACTGTGTCAGTCCAGTTTTCAGAGTTTCTCATAAAAGTAATTTTGGTCATATTGATCAGACACAGATTTGAAAGCTGTAAGTGGCCTATTTTTATTCATATATATTCAGAATTACAACAAAATGTTTTTCTAAAATTTGTAAAGCAGACAGGGAATACTTGTTCATTCTGTGCCTGACTGGTAAACGCATCGGGGAAAAAAAAAGTTCTGAGGTAACAGTTGAACAAACAGCTGAACATTTGCCTCGCAAACATAAGACATACCTGTACAGCATCTGCATAAAGACTGAAATATGCACCTTTCCCCTTGTGTGCTGTTGGGTCAATTTCATCCATTCTGGGTTGATTTTGTGGATTAATTTGGTCAAAACTTTCTGTGTTTTAGCAAAACGTACTGATATTTGGGAACATCTTATTTTGACATAATCTGGGAAAATGCTTTGAAATAAAAAACAAATCTCTCATCCGTTTCTGTAATAGTTAAATTACAGTGAGTTCATGCATCTAGCATATTGTTTTATAGCTATATTCTACTGTAACATGCATATATACATATATGCCTCACAAAAGTAGCAGAACATTCCAGGAAATCCCTAATATGGATGACAATTAAAATTACAGTTAGCATTAAATTATAAATCGACTTTCTTATAAATATATCCAAGATGGCTGGAAGTACACATATAAACCATTTATGGGCGTGCAGTCGTGTATTTATTCAGATCTTATTTTCATTCAACAGCAATAGCTGAATGCCTTCATCCATATTAGGGATTTCCTGGAATGTTCTGCTACTTTTGTGAGGTATATATGGATTTTCTGCTCAAGTGTAAATGAAACAGGCATTACATGCATTTAAAGTGCCACAATGCCCACATCAACCTATTTTAAAGGAAAACTAAAAAAAAAAAACGTAAGAAATAATTTTCTACTTAAGATATAATTTTTTGTACCATTTTTGATACAATTGTTACTCTATCAAAAATAGTAGCCTATTGAACATCAATATATAGCAAAGTAATGAAGTCAGAAATTCCAGTATCTGGACAACATTACACCTTAGTTAAAAATTCTGTCCAAAAGAACATGCTTGCAGCTTCATATCACATCGAATAACAACTCACACTATAAAATAAATTATATTTTCAGATTTGACGACAATTAAATTTTCAAAAAACAAACAGAAACTGCAAATCAGGAGGAGATCGGAGGCTCAAGAGGTATGATATGGCTCATAACAGACTAGTAAATGAGAAGTGGGTTAATTTATCAATGTTTTTTTTTCCTTTTTGATGTTACGAGTTATGCTGGATCTAATGTCACTATATTTGCTAAAAGTGATATTTAATTCATCTTGTCCTCTATATCTATCATAGGGCTGGACAATAATATAATATCAATATATCACAATAGATTTTTTTTCAATAACGGTGATATAATTTTTAAACCCATTTACGATATTTTGATACATTTGTGTATATGTTTTACATATGTTTTATCATATCTATCTATCTATCTATCTATCTATATATATATATATAGATTTTCTACCTTGTATCATTTGTCACTATATGACTTTACGTGCTCAGAAGTTGGTTAAGCTGCTCGGTCATAGAAAGCTACAAAATGAGCGACCTGAATACAGATATAGAGGAACAAGCTTCCACAAGTAAGAATGCAGACAAAGTAGTTGATGTGGATGTTGTTCGGCTTTATAAGTTCCGATAAACCTTTTGTTTCGGCGCTCTGCAAACTGTGCTGGAGAGCGATGCCGACTAGCATCGGAAACACATCAAATAGGTTCATAAAAGTTTAAGTCAACCTGTCGCCTCACCATCCACCTTCCCGATACCAAACACAGATGGCTATGAGGCGCAGTGTAGGGTTTTGCATGTCTACACATGAATATACACATATAAACATATAATATGTTCAAAACAAGTATGACACTTGCACATATATAAACCTACTGCATGCATACTCCCACATACACATGCACAGACATATAAACTCGATCCGATCATAAACTTGATCCTTGGATAAACACCCAAATTAACACACACACACACACACACACACAAAACTCTCTGCATGCTGGTATAGCACACAAGGAAACTTACAAAATAAAATTCAGAAACATATGTATCAGGAATCTGGTTATTTCAAAGCTTATGAAATAGAAAAAATTGGATTAATAGAAGTATTAAATCTGTTAAATAATGAAAATGTGTTATACAAAATATTAGTTTATATAAATAGACTATATAAAAATATAAGAACTATTTTATGTTAAATCTTTTAACTTAATTAGGAAATTACATACACAAAAATAGTCAGAAAGAACCCTTAAAGAACGTTTAAGATAAAAAGCAACCAGAACTTTAAATATACTCAAACAACTCTTTTTCTTTGCAAATATTAATGTAGCCTATACTCTTTTTGATTTGCTTTTGAATTATAATTATTATTCTTTTTCTATTTTTTTACGATGTGGATTTTGGTATTATTTTGACCAGAAATAATAAACTGCAGAAAACAGTCACACTACTTGCTCTGCAAACAGGTGTGTTCATGACTATACATACAAATAAAAATAATAAAATGAGAAAATATGACATTGCAACATCAAGCAGCATTAGGCATGGGCCAGTATAAGAATCTGACAGTATGATATCCTAAAATATATTTTCTTCTGAGACACTTTTAAAATATTTTTTAACAGTAAACATCTCAGGCTAAATAACTGAAATGAATCACAGATTTCTTTACGATTTAAAACAGCCTCTTTGGTCTTTACTGCAGGAGATACTGTTGTCCTAAAAAACAAAACATAAAAAAAAAACTAACATATACTGTTGGAACGGTGCAGCAGGAAATGTTGGCGATTTTAAAACCTTGACTTTTCCAAACTGCGGTAAACCTTGAATATAGTTATTGCCCCATGCCTCAGCAGCAAAACACTGATATTTAGGATCTAAAAATTTATTCTTTAAAAAAGTCTCAAGCAAAAAGATTCCAATGGCGCCCCCTGTTGGTGCATAAAGAATATGGTCTATATTCTGCGACTGTAAAATATTTTATAACAATTAATTATTTTAGTGTCCATTTCTTTCAGCATGCTCAATATTGGGGGCATCCACATTTTTTGACATACTGTAAACCAGAGTTTCTGCAGGTTTTACAAAGTTAAATTTAAGACTTTATGATATTTTTAAGACCATCATGAATGAAATTTTAGACTCATAAAGGGCTAAAGAACTTTTCAAATGGCCCAGATGAAAAAGATTTTTATTTGCCCCATCAAAATAAAATTTATTTTTAAAACTAAAAAATGAACAAATGTTTTTAAAGTTTTAAAAACTATAACAAACTAAATCTATGCACAACAATCTGTCCAGGTTAATATCCACAGCAGTAAATACATGGAGCACGTTTAAACAAATGTTATTGTGAGGAAAATAATTAAACCATTATGATAAATAGAGTTAAAAAGACCTTTTTGAATAAAAAGTTGAAAGTTTTATTAAGTTGAATTGTTGGTGATTGAATTGGTTTTGGCCAGATTGGGTAGAAAAACATGAACAAAGGAAAATAAAGACACAATACAGCACAATATTTCAGTAAATTTAAGACTTTTTAAGGCCTAAAATGTTAAGTCTTTTATGAGAATACTGTAGGTCAAATATCACCAGCTTAGTTAAACCTTTTATTAATTTATTGTTTTTATTTATTTTATAAAGCACCAAGGATGCTTTACAAACAGCAAAAGAACAAGAAAAGCAATAACGTTAAGAAGGTAGAGAAAATGGGAGACTAATAACACATAAAATAATGACAAAAGACCTGGGGACAAGTAACAAGAAAGAAACTCATTCCTGTCTTTCAATGAGTGCTTATGTGCATTTAGGAGAACTAGGCAGCACACTCAGGGCTGCAAGATGGATTTAGTATTATTATTATTAATAAAATATATCTGAATGAAAATATATCAAATGACTGAGTTGGTGTTTGAGAATGAAAACCAACCTGTTTGTTCCTGCTGATCTTCCTGTTTGACTGTGAATGTTTCTTCAATCTTCACATCTTCACTCTCCTCTTTAATAAATGCCATCTTTATAACAGTGTGGAGATCAGTCGCTTCAGCAGGAGTTTTTCTCCACGTTTTGACACTTTGTCCTGTTTAAAATGAATAAAACAATAAAAATGTCCTGTTTAAAATAAATAAAACAATGAACAGAAACAAAATTACTTCTCTTCAACAGTTTCTTTTTATTATCAAAAATAAATCAGGTAAAACATTTCTATAAAAATAGAGGTTAAATTGGTTTTATATTCACATTCTGAATATCTGAATTCTTAATAATATAATTTCATTAAAGTATTCTTTGCAAACTCTAAATAGCGAAATCATATTAGCAGCAAATGACTATCAAAGTACAACATTGTTCACATTTAAATAAACAGTGTTAATGTTGTTTTCAAGTCACACTTGCATGCTAATTCCGATCAAATATTCAACGTAACATGGTAAACAATATAGAGACTTCTAAATGAACAAATGTGCGAATATAAAACCAACTTTACCTCTATTAGAAAAGTTTGGGAAACCCTGCTTTAAAACACCTATTACACCCTTTTCTGTTTCAAACAATAGCCCTCGGCTTCTGAGAATAAAATAGTACTACGCTGTAAAAAGGGTTTAAATATTATTGTCAACAGCAGGTACATAATTTAGCAT